TTACCAGTATCGGTATGACTATCAGCAATATATTTGATGGAAAAAAAAAAAAAGTCTGTTTTATGATTTGAGTTTTAAAAAGTAGTAATTGCAGAACAAATTGTGAAGGAGTTTTGATGTAGGTAGTTTTGTTATTGCAATTACGAGGAATATACTCCTGGATATATTTTGCAGGCTTACATGCTAACTGATATTTCAAATCCCACAATGAGCCACCCTACTGCACATCACAGCACCATGAGTTTAACTACATGATTTTGTTCTTGTTCTGTGGACTTCTGGTCATCTAGAAAGTTATGAAAGCCTTTTTTGTCCTGTGTGTGCTAATTGAGTCATACCATGCGTGTATATTCATATACTTAAAATAGTCTTATTTAAAAAAAATAATTTAATTTTACTTCCTGTCCTTAGTAGCATATTTTATTCCTTTAGTAGAACATTGGATATTTGATGCAGTGGTGGTCTTGTTGGAAGAGAGTAGATTAGCCAAGAAAGCTTTGCAGATGAATCTCAATTATTTATGATAAAATAATAGTTCCTGTTGCAAGTAGTGGGACATAGCCGTAGTTCTTGTGCTTGATCTGTATTTTATAGAGCATTTTATTTTTCCTTTTCAATCACATTACTTGTTTAGTAATAGTGTGATGCGTTTCTCTGAATGTATGATTTCTTTTATAACCTACTTATTTTCCTGTTTGCTTTCATGCTTGTGAGCTGATTCCTTACATGCAGCAAACTTAGCTGCTTTACGTGGCAGTGTTGTCTTTCTAATAAAATAAGACCTTTCTGTAAGTGATGTTTGGCTGAGCAATTTGAGTTGTGTGAAAGCAGAACTGCAACTGCTAGTGAAGAGTGTTTTCTGTTTTAACAACTCCATGTAAATTCTCCTCCACTGTTACAGAAAAACATACTTTAACCGTGTAATTGTTTTGTGTCCATCTTTCTGAAATTGATGCATGTATTGTCTCTGAGTTTGTGTAACGTAGTAGCCACATAAAATATAAAAAAAATTCTACAATAAAAACAAAATAGCATGACATTTGGTCTGGTAGGGTGTACATCTCTTCGTCAAGTATTGGACAAAGATCCTTTTTTTTTTTTATTAAGAACCTATATATAATAAAAGACATTCAAAATATTTTCCCCCTCAGATTTTCAACAGATTTTTCCTAAGTTTGTTGTCAATCTTGCATTTTTGAATTATATATAAAAACTGCCTGTAAAGGTCAAGTTTTCCTGATCACTGAATGGATAGATAGGATAAGAGATAATATGAAGCAACCAGAAATAAGTAGAGGTACATTAAAGTTGTGTTTGGATAATTTTGAAAGTTCTTCCATCCTTTTTTTTTTTTTAATATTTTTTTCTGCATGCTAAGTGAATTGGTTATCAGATTCTTGTTAATTTTCTGGGTGAAGTTTACGCATTAAGTATCTGTGAAAAACGAAGGAGGTGCAGAGCTGAACAGGTCAATTATGTCAGAAGTTCTTTAGAGGGAGTTAATAAAGCTCTTAATCCTAACATGCTCTTAGCAAAGTCTTTAACATCATGCCTTGCATACCCAGACAATCCTCTGCTTGCTCTCTGTAAGGTTAGGATTGGTGTGTGACATGATGAGAATGACTTTTTCAGATAGTTTCAGGCCATAAAAATTTTAAGGCAGGAGATAAAAATAGGGTCTTTTCTAGTTACAAAGTAGTTCGACATTTATACAGGCATTCCAAAAAATTAAAGGATTCTTTTAACAGTTGTGGAGATGTCTCTTTTTATATTTTTGGATAATTCAGATGGGGCTGTGCTTCAGGCTTTGAAGGGCAGAATTTATATTCAATGCAGTTAAAAGCAGTTATCAGCTCCCTTTTTGTTTCAGTTGCTGATTGTTAGAACTATACTGAAATTAAACAGCATCCAGTCAACTGTTGTTTCTTTTGATAGGTATATATCTTCCCAGTTGCACTGAAATTACTTCAGAAAATCAGAGCTTTGTGTCAGTAAAAGTAAAGTGACAATTATTAAATTATTGCTAAAGCCAAATGAGTTAATTCTATAAAGGTTTCTACCTTTCGTCGTGTTTGTCTTTCATGTGTTGGTCTTTTTCTACAAAACAGAATTACCTTGCCTCAAAAAAAAATGGTAGCATGAGGAAAACTCCAAACTTTGCATTATGCTTTTAAAAAATCATATGTATTTCTTTCTTTAGTGCTAACTATATTGAATTAATATATTAGAAAACCTAGCTCCTACTGGCCACAAGGATTACTTATTTACCATTACATCAAGCTTGCAGCAGCATTTATTGTTATATTGCCACAGTTACATTTTTGTTAAACTTAACTTTGTGCTTGGTTGCTGATCAAAAATCTAGCAAGCAGTCTAGACGTTTAACAAAAATAGCATAGCTTTGTTCTCCTTTCTAACCTAACAAAGTTACTATACCTTGCCTGAACACTGAGGTATATTTTGTATATGGGCACACAGATTCAATGCATTTCTGTCAGAGAAATTCTCAGGGGTCAGTCGTCACGATTTGTATGTTCCTGGCAAACTGAATGCTACCACAGTGAAGTGATAAAATGCATCATCAGATGAGGGAAAATATTTTCCATCAGAATATTTTTCTACCTCATTATTTTTGTGGTTAGATTTACCTTGAGGTTTTATATTTATACATCAGTATTACATACTGAAACCAAAGTGATTTCTACTAATGCATTTCTGTCAGTGAGTTATTTTTTACCTCATCTATTGTTAACTCAGAACCTTCCTTTTTTTTAACTCGCAATACTACCAGGAAAGAAAAATGGGCTTGCAATTAAGAGTTGACAATTCCTTGAGTCTGGTGTAGACAACCTGTGTGACCTCTGCTGGGGGCAGTCTTTGCGGACTGAAATGTTAATAGTTTCTATTTCCTACCCCAAATTTTCTTTTCTATTTCTTAAGGTTTGTAATGTTTCATTGTACTTACACAGTGAACCCTGTTATAAATTACATCCAAGAGAAATCTCTAGGCGGTGTTTATAATAGTAATAATAAATAACTTGGGTCATGTAGAAACTACTGACTTTCTCACCTCTCAAAACCCTGACAAATTGACATCTTTTTCCTAGAAGACTAAGGGGAAAAAAAACCACATAAAACCATCTAGAGTTGCCACTACCTCTTTCTCTTGACATGGTGGTAAAATCCATCCCTGGTGAGAGCAGGCTATTAAGGGGAAAGATGTCCCCAATGTGACCATAGGGAAGCAGTGACTCTTGGAAGCAGAATGTTCCGAAATATGTTAGAAGTTACTGAACCCTTTCAGAAATGGTCTCAATTACTTGGTAGTTTCTAAGAAATGTTATTGTTTTGTAAAATTGTATTAATTATTGTATTGTAAAAATCATTTAGATGGAAATATCCGTATTTAGGGAAGACATACGGTGTTGGCTATGCTTTTAATGGAAAAAATTAATTTTCATTTTGGAACTCTGTATAGGTGATCTATATTTTTAAGGTTTTTTCCAAGGCATACAAAGACATTTTTCAGTGTGATTGCTTCTAGTTGACTTGAGTTTAAGAGAAATAATGGAGATAGTAGGAAGTAATGTAATATCTGGGAGTTCTTTAGTAATACATAACTTTTTGTTTAACTAAAGACTATTTTAATGGGCATTTGATTAAATACCGATGAATGTGAACATTAATAAATAGGAAAAAACTAACTTTTGCGCAACATGAAACTATGGTGAATATTATCAGATTTATGATCTCTGCAATATGATATAAAGGATACAGAAGAAGAATCCTAATTAACAATAATGTTTAGGATCAGTATCAATGCACATTGACCAGATTTATTTGGTAATAGATGGACTTTGGACAAAGTTTTAATTCTGTGGAATTGAGTAATAAACAACCAAGCAGAGTTCGTGATACCTTCCTGAATGTGTGGAGGAAGGGAACGAATTGAAGATGACACTAAGATTGAACCCTTGGGTTCAGTGACTTAGCGGACAAAGAATAGAGCTCTTGACAGAGATGATGAAGAGAGGGAAAAGGAAGAATTTGGATACAGATAATAAACAACCACTTCAGCTCATGTTAATTGCTATATGCTCTGTTGGTGTCATTCACAGCAGCTGAGGATGTGGCCTACTGAGTTCAGCTTTAATGATAAGTTTGAACTGGCAGGGAGACCTCCATACAAAATCTGAGCAAAAATAAGCAGAGATGAAAGACTGAGGTTATAGATCCCGAATTCTTGCAAGTGGGTTTGTATCTTGGTTCACTGAGTTGTGATGGCAGCTTAGGGAATACGAGTTAGCTATGCAGAAGTTGAACAGAAAAAAACTGAGAGAGCCTGAAAGAGAACAGAAAAAGGGAGAAGAAAGCCACCAAAAAGGAAGAAGGAGAGAGTGGAGCTTTAGAAAGCAAAGAATACTAATAATGAGATTAACTATAAAGGAAAAGCATGCAGGTAGACCAAGAACAAAATGAAAAATAGTGGTTTTTTCACTCAGTTTAACAGAAAACAGATAAACATATTAATTCTTTGAGGCAAAAATAACATGGGAAAGTGATCAAAACATAATAAAAATTACTTCAAAAAATTCTCATTTTCAGAAAGATGTTAGGAAATTTAGAGGTTGGATTTTCTCAGTACTGTATGTTTTGACTTCGTAGTTCAAAAGTTAGCATGTTTCAGTGTCTTTTATTTGTTGTACTTAGAGAAAATGACACATGCTGAAAATTTGTTAAAGATATTGACGTTACATTTAAATAAGTGTGTTTAGACAATGTTTACAGAAACTAAAAAGACTAAGAGTTTAGGAGAATACTGAAACAAGTTATTTCTCTTTTGCTAGTAGTTTTCTGTCTTTGCATAAAAATATATGAGTAAACAAGTATATACTTGTCTTATATTTTCCCAAGTATTGTAACATGGCATTATAATTTTCAGATTGGTTTTAATGTCTGAATAAATTCTTTAATTAAATTGAGCTTTTTTTTATTTAAAGCTGTCTTTTGGGGAGATATTGCCTTAGATGACGAAGACTTAAAAATCTTTCAAATTGACAGGACAATTGATCTTACGCAGCACTCCAACGAAAGACTTGGCCATAACACAGGTATGATATTTCAAGTTTATTTTAACTTATTTTTTCCTGTTCTTTACTTCTGCATAGAAAGCAATCCCTGTCTTTAATGCAGAAAATAGTCTTACACTTAAAAAAGTTATTAAACAATGAGTATAAAATTGTTTTAGGGCAAGAAAGAGACAGGCTAAAATTTTAATTCTATTCTTGCATTTCTGATTAAAAATATCTTCTTGAACTGAAGAGCACAAGCTGGTAGGAACTGTCATTCTGCTCTGGAGGTGGTCATGTGGGACAGGAAATTGTACCATGCTTTGCTTTCATTGCTAAAGTTCCTGATAGCAGACCCCAAATTGGCCTATGGAGAACATAACTAGACTCTTGGCGGAGAGACTGGGAGTCTTGCATTGCACCCGCTCCTTTTGCTTTTTTTCTGGGTTCCATCCAGGTCTGTACCCAGATCTAGAAGCAACACAAGAACACGCCATCCTTGCTAGAATTTGTCTCGTCTAAAACCCAGCTATAATCTGGTATTTTAATCCTTGCTTACTTGCTGTTGTTAACACACAGTGCATTAGTGCCAGAAGCTGCAATCTGATTAACACAGGCAGTTGGATATTCAGACAGATAAAGGGATATTATTTATGTGTAAATATATTTGTGTGCGTGTAAGAGAGAAAACATAATCCATGTCTAAACGGATGTCTTTCTAATGTCTAAAAATATCCATGCTTTCAGGCTGAGAATTGGAAATTCATAATTGAGAATTTGTAAACTTTCAAGTTGTAGTACAAAAATGCCAAGTTACTTAGGAAAAGTGTGGAAAAAAATGCTATTAGGAAATGTATAAATGTGCAATTGAAATTTATTTTCTCTTATTTTCTGCATGTTCCTGAACTGAGTTGCTAGTAATTTGATGATTCCTGATATGTGGAAATAAGGATCACTTTGAGGAATGATCAGAAAGGAATTTTTCAGACCAAAGAAACAATTTTCAGTATACCCTTTTAATACTGATATATTTAAAGTACTTTTACTCTTCCTACTCAGTTGTTGTGATTAGACTGTTTTTATAACAACATGAAAATTTATTTTATCTGTCTTGTTTTTTCAAGGCAGGAACATCTTTGATCATTTCTAAATCAAGACTGGATTTTAAAATGTTAGTCAGCACTTTCCGTACCCCTTTTTCCCCCAAACAAATAGTTTTAATTGGCTTTGAAGGTATTTCAGGTGCTAGTTTTGCTGACAAAATGTAAAGAGCAAGGTCAGTCATTTCCCCTTCAAGTGGATGCAGTCAAGTGATTTCTTTGACTTGCTGACTTTCCTCTTTTTTCTCGCCTTTTTTTTTTTTTCCTTTTAACTACAGAATTGATTTTTACTTTCTGGGGTTTTTTTTCTGTTTTTTTTTTTCAATTGCAACAGCAAGAATCCACATTTCTAAATTGATTTTAAATAATACTTGATATTCTATAATTTAATTTTCTTTCTTTACCTGAGATTTATGTGTTATCTTTTCCTGTGGACACTATCCTACTCAGGATATTGAGTGATCCTGCTGAGGATTACTAATGCATTTGGATCAAATTTTTCTCCTTTATTGCACAAGAAGAATCAATGCAACTGCAGTGGTCAGTGGGGCTGAACTTTGGGGACTGATCTCTGCTGAAGTTAATGATTTTGTAATGGCTTCCAGTGAACCCTCAACATTCTTGATTTTTCTAAAAACAGAGTTGGAGAACTCAATTTTACACTTTACATATGTAATCAGTTTTCTAAACTTGCAGCATTTTGATGAATAAACTACTTTAGCCTGGTTTTGCAAACTGCATAGCCATGTGTGCTTTTTTTCTCTCACATTTCCAGAGGAGTAAATTGCCAAAAGCTAACTAGGTGATATTAGGTAGCAACTGGGAAAAGAACATAAACTGTCTGTAAAATAGCAAACAACAAAACTTTTTTACTTTAGTCACAGACACAATGACAACGACAAGCTTGACTTCTGAGCACTTTCTCTTGTTCATCTTCACTAATTAAAGGTGGCATCAGGTAGAAGGATTAGATACTTGAGTAAAAATCATCAAGGAGCTGCAGAGTTGCATTTTTCATTGCAACTACTAATTAAAAATCCTGAAGCTCACAGGCTCTGAATCACGTTATGTGACTACTCTTTTTGGTGAGGATTATCTGCCTGGATTTGCAGGGTCAGATACTTTAATCTGTGATCTTCTTAGAGCATGGCTCTGTCATTTTGTTAGTCATTTTGTCCATTATTTTGTCCAAGCAATAGGTGTAAGCATTGTAAACACAAACAACAGTAAAGCTGATAAAATTATGTATATATTATGTCTCCAAACTGCCAAAAGTATGCTTCCCATGCTTGAAGTATGAGAATATGCAGCACATACAATTTATAAAAACTACACACAACCAACCAACCAAACAAAAAAATCTTTGGTAGACTGTAGCTTGTCAAGGCTGTATATTATTCACGTAAGACAGATTAGTTATGTGAGATACTTTTCTTCTGTTTTTCCCTAGATGGAATACACAGGCTGTGTTAATACAGAAATGATAGTTTAATATTTTTTACAGAAATAATTGTACTATAATAGTTTCTTTAAGCAAATAATGGGGTTTATTCTGTTATGTCTGTGACAGTTGATGCTTTTAAAGATTTTTTTTAGTATTTGTTTGGAACCTTAGCTATGTGCCTTTTTTGTAAGATGAATGTTTTATAAGACATGAGACAATTACATTACTGATGATCAATACAAGGAGTGGAATTATACTCGCTGTAGCATATATTATAGTTACCATGTAACTTGCTGGAAAGGAATGTGTTGAACTATTATCTCATCTATCTAAAATGTTTTAAAAAATTTGGAAAATTTTTCTCAAGGGAGCCAGCAACTATGTGACAGTGTAATCCAAATAATTAGGCACATTGTTATTCACTGAACTGCTATGCAAACTCACTTGCCTTATATGGAACGTTGTTATCTGTAATACGATTTAAAGTTGTTATTTAATAAATATATTTTCCAACATATATATTGAAAATTTTTATGGGAAGATGGGAGAGGTCTTTTTAGTGGTGACTGGAGGTTTCAGTGGTCGTTTTGTTTCCATCTTTTTACTTTTGCTGTTGTAAAAGTAGTTTGAAAGCTCCCTTGTCCTGTAACAGATGCTGGACTTTAAAATACAACCTTCTACACTCTTCTGAAAATGAAAAATCTTTCTCATCAGTTCTGAATGATTTGTTGACTAGTGCAGTATTATCAGTGTTCTTTCTTCTGAGTTACTGATGTTTGCAAAGGCACTTGCAGCCACAAAAGGATTATATGTGAAGGGTGTATGTGGCAGATGCATTGAACATTTACAGTAAACCTAGAAATGTGTTGCATTTCTGTAACTGGCATGGTATATGTTAAAATCAATTGCTTAATAGCTTAGTTTTTCTTGCTCATTGATTGCTGAAATGATTCAGATACTTATCTGGGCTACCTTACTGCAATATATAAAGTGGCATGTGATGTTTCAAAGCCTTTAGAGTGCTTTTACACCTATTTGCATGCTGACAAGGAAAACCAAATTCTTCGTGGTAAAAACCAGCTATATTAAGTTTATATCTCCCTTTTTTTTTTTTTTTCCCCTGATGAAACTTTTGGGTGTTTGCATTCCCTCTTTCCCATCCCCTGAAATGAGGAGATTATGGCATGCATTCAGGAAATTTCTGTGAGAGTGAGGCTTTTAGCTGTCAATCAATATGGCTCTGAGGATGGCAAGGTCACCAGGAAGAAAAAAAGCTCCAAATAATAATTAGATGATGTAATTGTCATGACTTGTCTGAATAACAAAGACATATTCTGGTATGCATATTATAAAAATGCATTTTTAGCTGAAAAATGTTCTTTCATTGTCAAGAATAATTGCAGAATTTGTGTGCGAGTCACTGAAGAATGTTAACTTGCTTTAAGATATATTGCAATTTTTATGGGGTATTTTCTAATCTCTCCATGCTGTATAGTTGCTGTAGGTGTAAGATATCATGTTTTAAGTTTTTGTAAAATTACTTTTTTTTTCTTTTCTTTTTAAAGGTGGCTTTGGGGAGCATGGAATGTCAAAAAAACGAGGTGCCCTCTATCAGCTTATAGACAGGATAAGAAGATTTGGCTCTGGTATTTTCACTGTTTAAATTAGCAGATTGCCTAATGTGATAATGTAACATGAACATTAATGACTATAGCACTTCAACACTTTAAAGCCTTTCTGTATTATTGGCATAAATGAACTATAAAATAAGTATTACAAGGATAATAATGTAAAATAAGTATTACAAAGATAATAATGCTCTTTGTTGCATTTTCTTAGAAGTCTAATTCCAGCATAAAATCTGAAAGCTAAAATATATAGTTTTAAATCCTGTTAAAAAATTCCTTAACTTTTTTGTATCACTGTGTTCACAGTAATCAGTTCAAGCAATATTAATACAAATAGACTATGCTGCATAGCTGCTAATTTTGTGTTTGTGTTTTTTCTGGATCCAGGTGGGGCATTCTGATGAATCGTAACATGTTTGAAGCATTTATGGTGTGTTATACTGAACACACACATTTTTATGCTAGTCATACTCACATCAGTATGAATGTAGTTGAATTCAGCAGGCTATATAAGTGGAATTCCGATTGATACTGCTTGAGTTTACTCACCATATTTGATGCAAGGAGACATCACTTTAATGTCATGAAACCTTAACCTCAAAAGGCAAAATACGTGAAACTCCATTGCAATTGCACCATATTATGTCTAAATGCATCACTGCATGTATTGTGAGATTAACCAGAGCACAATAACTGCCTTCGCAGATGGGCTCTGGTATATAATCTTAATACTTTATAGTATTGCATAAATTCTTGCCATCTTTTGCATGCAATTTGCCATGAATGTCTTACATATAATTTAAAAGAAAGTTAATTAAACGAATTTTGAATGTTAAATGTGTATATTAACGTGATATCGTTCGGTAATGACCGCATATTACATGTAACAATAGTTTTTCTCTAAGTTTCTACTTGTGTTGTAGACTGTTCTATAATTCTCATTTACAAACTTAATTACAAGGAAAAATTATTTTCGTTACCCAAGTGGGGTTTTTTAAACCCTGAAATTTTCTGTATCATTCCTGATGTAATCGAAGTTACCAGTTAGTGGTTACAAAGGCAGGCTTTTCTGCCTGTATATCAAGAGCTTTGTCCCTGCCTTGTGCTGTAGCTTCTTCCCTTTCTTCCTTCTGCTGCTTTCTCAGCCCTGGGTCTGTGCCAAGCCTGTGATCCTGCCCTGGAATCCTCCCTGTTTCTGAAATAAACATAAACACTGAGGTGGGACTGGTATCACAGGGGATACTCACAGGAGGAAGGTGTGTTTCTTCAGTGAGGAATAAGACTTAACCCCACTGAGTAAGATTTGTTGACTGCCTTCAAGTGATTTGTTTTAATCAGCTGCTCAGGGGGCTTGCAGGAAAGATGAGGAGGAACTCTTTATCAGGGACCATATTGATAGGGCAAAGGGTAACAGCTTCAATCTGAGAGTAGACTGAGATTAAGTATTAGGAAGAAGTTATTTTCTGTGAGGCTGTTGAGACACTGGAACACGTTGCCCAGAGAAGTTGTGGATGCGCCTGGAATTGGATGGCGCTTTGAGCAACTTGGTCGAGTGGGAGGTGTCCTTGCCCATGGCAGAGGGCTTGGAACTAGACGGTCTTTAAGGTCCTTTCCAAACCAAACCATTCTGTGATTCTATTTGAAACTACTTCAGAAGAAGAACCTGTTATGGTGTGCCAGTCCTTGTCTAACTATCTTTATCTTCTTCTGTTGTCACAGTAAATTTCAGCTGCTTTAGAAAAGATTTGCCTATAATGGGATAAATGGTGGTAATATCTTTCAAAACAGTATACATTTTTCAGTCTTGTAAAGAAATTCCAACCATGAGTAATACTTACCTATAGGATTTCAGAAGCTCTTTTATGAAAAATATGTATTTACATCTTGAAGTATTGTTAGGGTTACTATCAAAATGAAAGTCACATTTACATCTAAAAATGTATCTACTGGTAAGAGCTACAGTTGATAGAGATTGGAAGAAAATTACTTTTTCCATGTATATACAACTTTGAAAATAGTGTGTCTATGTTTTCCTTGTAATTCCTGGTAATAAGCCCCCATCTAATACTTTAAGTTCTGTCCAATGCTTTAAGTATGGTCATACCTTTTCTAGATCTTGCAATAAAAATGAATGGGACAGTGAATGCCTTGATAACTCTGTGTCTGTCCAAAGTCTTTCCTTCCTTGCTGGAATAATCCTAATTTATTAAAAAAAATAAATACACAACGAGTGTAAGAATGACACATTTTAAAATTATTAAATGAGATATTTTAGATTAAATTATGCAATGTGCTTTCAAGTTTATAAATATATGTGCAAATTATTTATGTAGCTATGTTTGACAAATGAAGATTTAAACCATTTCAAGCATTTCTCAGAAAACTTAGTAATGTTAGACTGTTGCATAATAGCAATGTTCTACTTTTAAAGGGCATAAAGAAATAATCTGACCTGCTGGAAAATAATTGTTCTCTTTTCGTGTGTGTGTGACCTCATTCAGTGTTTTAATTACCGTTACAGGCTTTGAGCAAAATAATACATCTAAAGGAAGAGCTACTGTAAAATTCTCAGGGAAAAATGAGAAAAACAGATTTCCCAGAGCTGCTACATCACGAACAGAAAGAATATGGCCAGGAGGTGTCATTCCATATGTAATAGGTGGAAATTTCACTGGTAAGCTTTGTGCTTTGGATGGAAAGAAGGAATATGAATTTTTTTAATTGCCTTTTCTCTTTCTGTCTTTTTTTTTTAAAGTCAAGTCATACAATAGAAGTCGATAGAATGGTTTCTGTTGGATCAGGCCTGAAGTACATCTGTTCTGAAAATATTAGTCACACTTCAAAAAATTCTTCCCAAAGACAAGCAGCGTAATAAAAATGTATAACTATGTTTTATAAAGGGAAGACTCTTTATCTTTGCTTAATGTTTCTTGTTGCATATTTGTTTTCAAGAACCTAAGTAACAGAAAGTTGTGAAATCTGTTTAGTGTTCATTATTTAAAATGCAAGATATTTGGCACAAAAATATAATTAATTTTACTGCTGTGACATGTAGTCTGCTAAGCTGATTTCACTGAACACATTGACTTAAATTTGTTTTGTAATTCCTTAGTTTGCTTTCAGGTGGGTACACACTCAGGCATTATATATGACAATATGAAAGACTGTCCTCGAAATATAGAGTTCTTAACAGCTCTAGAAACCCCCCCCCCAAAAATCTAAAACATTTGTTATCACTGGAAAATGTAAATGAATCAGTATCTTTGTGGATGTAAGAGGTGATTTAAAACAAAAAGGGAGAAAAAAAAAGATGGATGGGAAACGATACGTAATAACATCTTAATTATTGTGCGCAACAAGGGAAGCAAAAGAAACCTGCAAATGCTCACACATTGTGTGCCTATATATATGGAGAAACCAGTCATTCCTTTCAAACTGACAGCTACAGTCAAACTTTTTGTTTGGGTATTTACATAGTCCTATACCAGATGTGGCCTTTCCTTTAGGTTATTATCTTTTGAAATAACTATAATAAACTAAATGCCAGGTTGGATGGGGCTTTGAGCAACCTGGTCTAATGGCAGGTGTGCCTTCCCATGGCAGGGGTCTTGGAAATAGATTATCATTAAGATCCCTTGCAATCCAAATAGTTCTCTGATTCTATGTTAAACATTTTACCTTTTTCATAATGAAAGATAAATTCTAAAGCTGGGAAAGCATTGCTTAAAGATAAAAGAAAAGGGCATGGTGGGATGAAAGAACCTTTAATTTTTAGGATCTGACATGATTTGATCTTGCTATTTTTATGAACTTTGAGGCTTTGTTGTATTTAAAAAAGGTTTGATTTGTTTTTCAGTTTTGTAGGTTTTGATGGGGGATTTTTTGCTTTGTTTTTGTTTTTTTTTGTAGTTTTTTGGAGGGTTTTAAATCATCTTATGCTGTAACATGCATCTTTGCAAGAGTCTGCAAGGTGGATACATTTCTGCTAGTGAATTCATGCCAAATAGCTATTCTGTGTGGATTTCCAGCTCTGACACTGACTCAAAGTTAATAAGTCTTGTCTTTTGTCTGGCAATGAAATTACATACCTATTCTATCTAAAAGACTGTATACTATCTGGCTTTGTGTTTTCTAGTGAGAGCTCACCTGGCTGCTTCTGCATTTAGAGTATAGATTTGATTGTTTCTGAATGTGTTTCTCATTTTTAAAACAAATGTCTAGGTATGTTTAGTGTTGTACTAAATTAAGAATTTACGTCTTCTGATGGATTGTTTCATTCCTGAAAGATTTTGATGCAAAGAAGTGGAGACCAGTCCTTGTTCAAGACAATATTATTAAAAGCAAATGCCTTGACTGGTATGTCTGTTTACATGGCTTAGGTTAAATTGGTCTCCAGATTTGAAGGATGTAGGATTTTATTTTATTTTTTTTTCTAGATAACTCGGATTCAGGATTTCTCAGTTTTCTTTCTGTTTTTTTTTAATTCCTTTCCATGTTTTCCCCAGTGTAGTCCACTTGATAATTTCATCTGGGAAATTACGTAGCAAATATTATACTAGTGCAGGCACATAAACAACACTGAATTTCTTCTGCTGTCTTCCTCTGGTGTAACATAGCTGTGCTTTTTATATGCAGGTGTTATGTTTGCTAGAGTGTGATGTGGCAGGCAGCATTGGTCCCCTTGCAGGCAGAATTGTTATGACGAGCTAATGGTCTGAGTATCCCTTTAATTGGAATCTTGGCAGTACATGGGACTGCTGGGACACAGGCCTTCACGATCCAGTGACTCCTTCCAGGCCTACTATATTCCTAGTATTGAAATCTGATTTTAAGGAGCAAGAAGCAGTTAGAAAAGGCTCTTACTTCATGCAATTACTCTTCCAGGCACCCAGCGCGCCATGTTCAAACAGGCTATGCGGCACTGGGAAAAGTACACGTGCGTTACATTTATTGAGCGAAGTGATGAAGAAAGCTATATTGTATTTACATACAGACCATGTGGGTAAGTGTGCATATATGGTAACAGATACTTGTGTGTTTGTGTTTGGCCATATTTGTCAGCTCTGCAGTTATAAGTGAATATATACTTCACAGGAAAATGAATAGATACTGTATTTAAATGATACATGTGTTCTATCTGGCTTTAGGTTTATTGATAGAACTATGTATAGTAACGTCTTAGAATTCTGCCTCTTTTGTCTATTTCTAAAGTGATCTTTATATATATATATAAATGAGACTTATATTTGGCTTTCTATCATGCTCCTACTATTTATATGTATTGTTCTAAAGGTATTGCAGGCATATCATTTGTTTATTCTTAGCTTTCTGCATGCCACGCATTTACTGCTGAATTATGTATGGACATCTATTGCCTATTCCTTTTCTAGCAGAATTGTCGTGAATTCTGTTGTTAGACTTTCCTTGCCCACAATTGTTTAACCACCAAATTCATGGCCAGTTTGCAAATACCTTTTTCCAGGTCACTGATGTGTAAAAGTGAACAAAACAGGTTTTATTACTCATTAGTTCAGCTTTCCACTAATCACCGTGTTCCATCTTCAGATATTTCTGCTCACAAATGCCTCAGTCAGCTATTTTTGTTCAACTCAGAATTCTTAATTTTCTATAGTGGTCAGTGAACTTTCTGAGTGCACCATGTTCATTTTCCAAGAGGAGCACTCACTGCCTGTGTTTCAAAATACTGTACTTCTGATAGTTACTTTCTCTTTGGGTAGTAGGCTTCACAGCGAACTGCTCTCTGTCTGTCTGACTTCCTGATCAATGAATACTTCACATGCCTACTTTTGAATTTTTGTGGGGTAGGGCTGTGAAAAGAAGTTTTGGGACCTCCTTGCATTATAGGAATGATCCTGAATATACTTAATTATAGCCCATAAAATTACATGTGGGCTTATCTGTTTACCCCTGACATCCTTCTTAAGGCATAGGACAGGGTGATAAGACTCATTCCCATTGAGAGGGTGACAGACCACTGGAAGAGGCTGCCCGGGGGCGTTGTGGAGTCTCCTTCTCTGGAGACTTTCAAAACCTGTCTGGATGCGCCCCTGTGTGGCTGCCCTAAGGGATCCTGCCTTGCAAGGGGGTTCGACTAGATGATCTCTAGAGGTCCCTTCCAACTGTGAATATTCTATGGTTTCATGGTTCTATGGTATTTTTAAGAAAGTCATTGCCTTTTCCTTGGAAAGTCTCTGAGACACAGATAATTGCAATTGGGGAGCGTATTCTACAGAAGGGCCTGTGAACTTGCCTGTCATGTTCTTGTGCTCGCGTAGGTCTGATGTAGACCCCTATGAGAAACAGTGCCAAAGGAAATGGACTTTTTGTTCTGACCCAGCATAGTTATTATTTTAGTTAATGAGGTAACCTGTAAGATGGGATTCAGGGATAGTGACATATGTCTGAAAGAGAAACGGGAAGCAGAGAATATAACCGTGATGGTTCCTTGAACATACAGAGGTGGAAAACAATGTGATTTTAAACAGAAGAATATGAAAGATATAAGACGTCTCAGGCTCTTTAAAAGGAGAGGTATGGGGATATCCACAGAGATCTTGGTTTTGTGAAAAGTAAGTTCTACAACTGCAAAGCGCCCAAAGCCAAACAGCAGAAAATCTCTACAGCCAAAGCACTGTTCCTTAGGCTGCTTTATGTTTCATGAGGTCAAGCCACTTTAGGGAGAAGCCTGGATTATAACCAGTTTGAACCATAAGGCTGACATATATACTCAGTGTCTAGCTTCGAAGTCACCATTATGCTTTACATTTAATGTTGTTTTATTGGTGCATACTTTGCAAATTATAGGTACATTACAAAGACTGTAACAAGTTTAAATAAAAGCAGGGAAGAATGTGACTATAACAGTCCAGCAGTGATAAAAAAAGAGAAAAGGCTAAATAGAAGAGGCCACTGAATGATATTTTTGGGGATCCTGAATCCATAAGCCATTTCAGAAAGAGCCAGATAAATAGGAATGTATCTTCTCTGGTTAAGTAGGAACCACTGTGCACTAACCACCGTCACACAGTGCTGATGCAGGATTTTCCATGGAAAGAGCCCAGACGAAAGTGACGCCACATCATCTGCAGACACTTTCTACTACATGGCCAGTCACATTGAAATTAATCTCAGTTCTTTCCCATAGCACCCTGCTGTGTTGGTTTGTTAGTACGTTGTGTCATTACTGTTTGCAGTACCATGGCAGCTAACATTTGCAGAGGAGGGAGACTTTATTGTACTTACACTGTTCAAATTAAAACACAAACGGTAAATCTTGCCCCACAGAGCACACAGTCAAACCATAACACATTTAATGAGAGAGAAGCTTTATAGAGTCATACGTGTGGAAATTCAGGTGGCAATATCTTCAAATGTCTCATATGACAGCATTAGCACACTAGCAAGTGCAGTATTATTGAGCCTTTGTAAACATTAAGGGTATTTTGAAGGAGTATAATGCATTGCTTCTTGCAGCAGTTCATGGGAAGCTCATCCCAGAAGGCCAGTGTTGAAAAAAGCATATTTGAAATATTGCAGCTGGTTATCAGAGATACATGACCTTCCTAAAGTTGTGAGTTTATATATCCGCAATGAACAAGAGAGAAGTTTTGGTTATCATAGACCCATAGGACTTCAAGGGATCTGAGAAAGAGGTCTAACGTATGCTTAAGAGAGAAACAGCTGTACCTAAGTCATTGCTGAAATATGCTTGTCTAATTTGTTTCTAAGAACCTGCGAAAATCAATACTTCACAGCCTGTTAGGAAATGTACTTCTTTAGTATCCTTAATATAAGAAATGTACAAAGTCAGGGGCAGTATTTCTAGTCATAGCTAAACCACTTTTTTCTTGCTGCACTTAAAGCACATTAACATTTTTTCCTGCTCACCATGGCCATAGAAAATAATTACTCTTTTCTTTTTGAAGGAATCTATTATACACTTTGAGACTTACTATGTCCACGTTCAGTTCTGTTTTCTTTTAGGCTAGAAAATGCCCAGTTCATTTAATCTTTACTAGTAAGTCATGTTTTCTAGGCCTTTGATCACATTGTCTTTCTCTGAGATTCTTTTCAACTAATCCACATCTTTCTTGAAATTTGAGGACCCAGAACTAGGGCACGTTTGTCCAGTTGAATCATTACTTCTGCTGAGCCAGTGCTAGAGCTAATTTATGTATCTTGTAGACTCTCCTTCCACTTAGGTACTTAAGCTTGATGCCTCACTGTTCCTCAACAGTGACCAAGTTCAACTCATGGATAGTTAGGGTGTGTCTTCAAATAAGATGCAGAGTTCTTTCAACACCACTGGTACCCTGCCATGGGTTGCAGCATGTGCTATGTTTTGTAGATCTCAGAACACCAAATAATTATGCATTTCCTTTTTCAGATCTCTTCTCTAATCTGTTAAACTTGATACCAATTTCAGGCTTGTCTTCATAGTATCTAGCAGCCTTTTCTTAGACTGCAAGTTTTTAAAAGAACATCTTCTCTATCTTCACTTCATACAATATTCCAACCAGCTTTGTACTAGACTTCTCTAGTTTGCTTATGGGTGGAAAAAAGCCAAAAGCTTTACAATTGGATCCTTCCCTCAGAATAATTTCATCTGTTGCAGGCTTAAACTAGAATTATTTGTCATCACATTTTGTTTATTTGACCTGATTTTGAGAATGTCGAAATATTATTTCTTAGTACAGTTAATGCACTTATTTTGAAATTTTGTAGCTACTGATAGTTATTTGTACCCATTAGCAGTAATGTAAGAATAAGAATATAGCATCAAGATATCAGTATTTATGATACTTCTACCACAGCAGTGTACATTGGCATTAATATTTATGCAGCTAGTTGATATGGGCAAGTAGAACTCTAATCTGTAAATAGGCTCAAAACGCACTGCTCACTACTGCTCCCCTACACTTCCGTTTCTCGCTCTCAGATAGGAAGTGCCTGAAGACACGGTCAGTGCACTTCTCTGTATGCAAAGCCAAAAAAGGGGTCAGCAAACTGGGATGGCCTTTGGTCACATGCTCTTAATAAATATTACTAAATACAAGATCAAGCTTCTTTTTATATAGCGAGACAGAAAAAGAACAATTAGTCATATTGTTCTGGCATCTCAGCATGTTTTTGATCTGACTTTGTGGCAATTTTGTTCTCCACTAGAAGACTTAAGTACTTTTTATGACAAACTTTAGATGACTTATTACAATCACACTGTATCCTCTTGTGTGGGTATTTGACAAAGCTGTCTGAGAGAGAGGAAAATCAAATCTCTTTCATGTGCTTCCCCAAACATTGTAGACTGAACAGCTTCTGAATGTTTAATGTTTTTTGAACTTGCTCATATATTAAGTAGACATTAAAGGCAGGTTCTTAAACTTGGTAAAATAGGTGAATACATTGCCAAAGGCATTCTTTAGCTTTAAGAAGGATTACATGTTATAAAAGGTGCTCAGTTGCTTGTATGGAATGAGAAGAAACTCGGAGCTGTACTAAATAATCTGTGGCGTTCGGACTCACTCTTGCTCTCTGGTGGTAATTACCCCTGGCAGCTAGCACTCTTTCTGCCCTCAGCAGTTGACACATCTTCTCTGCTGGTTGTGGTGTAGCCAGCAGGGTGGCTGTGACTGAGGTGCAGGTGACCATTTGCCATAGTCTAAAACACAGGGAAGTAACAGAAAATGCATGAGGGGTGATTTATTTTTAAATAATTATTATTAAATTTTGTTCGTGATTTTTGTGAACTTCTTTCTCTTGATTTGTGTAACATGCAGGTGACAATATGCAGTCCTAGTATGCTTATGAAGTTCTGCAGTTTTTCATCCACATCTTCATACACTCAGTGTCACGGCAAGCTGATGTTGTAGTCTGTGAGGATTATTTTCTTTTTTTTCCCAGGTTCTGAAGAGTGCAGCTTTTAAAAAAGATTCAACATTGACCCTACCTGACTCTCTCTTCCTTTGTATTAATTTACGAGCATTTCTGATGGTAGCTCTGAAATAGTATTACATAAAAGAATGAGTATATTGTTCTAGTCATTTCACTTTCTCTCTGTTGTTTCTCTTTGCTCACCATCATTGATCAGCTAGGCTGATTAAATGGAATTAGAGATTCATAAATAGTTGCTGTCTCCAACTGCTGTCTGGTGCAATAAAGATTAAAGGGATGAGGAGCTTTAAAGGCTGCCAGTTGACTCAATTTAAGTGGCATGACAAGTGCTCATACAACACAAAGAAGTCTTGGTCTTTTACCAGACACACCTGAGGTCAATCCCATGATACTGCGAAATATTTCTTTTATTTATTTATTTATTTATTTAAGTTTTCCTTACCTTTTGACTCAGTGCAATGTTGAAGTGATCAGAATCTTGTAGCTTAATTGGATGAATCTGGTGTGCTTGACATGACACTCAACCTGGCAAATCCTAATGACCCTCTGTGAGTGTGCACTGCTGCTGCTATTTTAAGACTTGGTGTTAATTCTAATTTCCTTTGGCGTGTAAAGAAAATAAATACTCAATAACTTTGTTAATGATTTCTGGGAAGTACTTGAAATCTTTTAAATTAACCAGTGTAAGTGACTTCATATCTGACCTCGCTTTGAGCAGAAAGTTGAACTGGAGACCTCCAGAGGTCCCTTCCAACCTGACTTCTGCAAGTATCAGGGGAATTTTATCTATATTTAGTACTCTGTAAAGTGAATTTTTGCAGATTGCATACATTTTATGCTTTTCTATTTTTGAAGTGCCCAAACTCACATTGAGCATTGTCAGTGCATTTTATCTCTGCACAGAGCATAATTACCATGACCTTAGCATAAGTACATGACCTTAGCATAGGTAGGAAGCCCTAACTCATTAAGTTCACCTAATATGGAAATGGTGACATGCTCTTACAGGATTTGGATTACTTCATCTGATTGATTCTTGTGTTTTCTTCCATGGTTTCTTGTAGACTGCCAAGGGAAATGTCACTTCCTAGTTCTTACTCCAGGCTTTAAGTCTGGGGCCTAGGCACTGTGTTTAACCAATTTATTCAGTGTACATAATGCAACTGCCTATGACAATGAATTACTAGGGAAAGGTCATCTTCAATAGTTTTTAAAAGGAATGAACTTTCCTGAGAATAAAGTGTTACTGCAAATTCTGCCACCTTTGGCTCAGAGTACAAAGTGTGTACTCCAGCATTCCCTCTCTAATTGGATGGGACAGTGAATAACAGTGTAGGAAACTTAAAAAAACCACACAAAACAACCCAACAAAAGACCCAAAACGTTCTTAAGGATCCACTTTTCTCCCTAGGGTGAATATGTATGAATAAGAGGGTAATTTCCTTATTGCAGAATAGAGAGGTATTGAAATAGTTGAATGACTGGCGAAAGACCAAAACCTGAGTAAAAATTATATTGAAAATATCTGTAGTGCTTTAATTATGTTTACATATTGACCTGTAGCCATACTATTTATTCTGCAAACATGCAGTCTGAAAAAATATGTTAAGCAAAACCATGTCAGCATGTCAGGTTCAAAGGTGAAATCCAATCTGGAATCATGAGATAAAATGGTGTAACTGTTCTACATTTTTATTTTAATCTTATTTCTGCTATCAGTTACTCCTTTCTATCAGCTATGCTGTAGTTTTAGGGCACATCTTAATATAGTTCTTCCATTACTGTTATTTATATCAATGTTTATAATAATATTTCTGTATAATAAATATTGTAAATAGTAATTTTGGGTTAATAGATTTTATACTGAGTGGAGGGAAATACACAAAGCTATGCACAGCTGTTCTTTATTTTCTTTTACTTTGATGTGAAACGGTAGCACATAAACTTGCAACAATGGCCCAGAATTATAGCAGGGAGTCTGAATTGCCATTGTTTTTATTCACCTGCCTTGAAGAGAGCTATCAAGGGAAGGCACCTTAAGAAAGTAATTAAACATGAAGTTGCACAACTCTAGTTGAAGCACCGAGCTTAATTCAGTGCTTTGATCTAAAAAGGCAGTTCATACCTGTCTTTGGAACTTATCTAAAGCAGGAGGAAAAGAGTTAACTTACTTTGAGGGTAGGAATACCTGAAAAACAATTGTTCCTTGCTATTTCAACTGCAATGTGAACAATAATTTTTCCCAACAGTATTTTCAAAATAGTTTTGAAATTCTTGATACAATCCTCTCCTGGGCTGTTGTAGTAATGTTTTCCTCTATAAAGTAACTCATATGGCCTTTATAATTCTAAGATATTGCTTTAATTTTTGTTATATCTATCCTTGATTTTAACCATTAGTGCAAAACCAATATATGTTTACTAAGATATGAGTATTGTGAGGTAAAATACCATGGCTATACTTCTCCGATATTCATATTTTAAAACTCCAGTTATATTATGCAATAACAAAAATCAGTGAAAATGACCAGCTATGACTGAGTCACCAGCCATCTAACCAAAGTGAAACATCTGTTTGCCACCACAAGACCTGAAAAGAAGAAACAAGCAAATGTTGTGTGTAGAATTTAATCACTGTATGATGTTGCTGCCATAGCTGCTCTTTCCTTATTGCTCACAGAGGCATATGAGGGATAGTATCATTCTCCACACTAGCATTGACCTCCTCAAGGACCAAACATATTCTGCTATGTAAATGTTGCATCAGAAAACATGTGGGGTATTTTTTTTGGTTCAAAAAGGGGAGGAGTGAGAGGGTGGAGGTGATTCGCTCAGTACAATTCCATTCCCCCTGACAGACTGCAGGATTTACAGAGCAGAGATAGGAAATCAGGCTTTTATTAGGGAGTATAATGCTGGCTTGAAATATTTAACACCTTGAGAGATGACAGAGAATCGACTTATGAAACCTGAAATTGTCTTCCCTTTTGGTAGGATTTGCTTTACTCTCCTTTTGCTAGCATAGTCAACAGACTTTTTTTTTTTTTTTTCCCTTTTCTAACCCAGAAGCAGACATCTTGGATAAATGCTAACAGTATGAATGCTGAAAAGGGCATCTCTGTTCCATAAGTTTACATTGGAATCGTGGAAGTGTAGTGGAACAGAAAAGAAACACGAGTGCAGTTGTGAAGCGGGGTTTTTTTGAGTTGTTTGTGTTGGGCTTTTTCTTGTGAAAATATGGCTTTCTGGGACTAAGGTACCTGTTACAGAAAAAAACAGGAGTGGATGAAAAAACCTGTTTGCACATATCCAGAGCATTCCACCTCCTAGTATACTGTTGTTGCAAATGACATTGTATATAAGCCATAGCCAGAGAAACAAAAAATGAGGAGAGATTGCACAATGGCATCACAGGATTCTGCAGCTTATGCAGTTTATCTTCCTTCTGTATTTTTAAATGCATGTTAAGTGGATCTTTTAAAGGATTACTATTTCATTTGCATAATTTCTGCACCCTTTATAGTTGGAGCTTATGAAGTAGGGTGACTTTTCAGATCAAAATAAAGCAAACTTACCAGAACTGAGTGGCCAAGATTCTGGTGAGTGCTGTCAAGACACACGGCAGAAGTATGGCCCCAAATAAACCTTCCCTTTACTTATCCTTTCCAAGAAGTGCAAGAAGTGATATGCATGAGTTAGATGATACTTCCAATCATATTTTTTATCTTTTTTTTTTGAAGGGGGGATGAAAAGAAATTCCTGTGTCATTCTAACATACAGGGCAACAAGGGACAATTATGTTGATCATAGCTAGCATCTTTTAAGAAGACTTTGAATGAAAAACATATTAGGTATACTGAATAATGAGTTGTTCTTGCACTAAATCGAATTTATGGAACTGCAGAAATTGCATAGTGCATTATTCTGCTGATTTTTTAAAAATTATATAATATTTTCTCATATTTTAACCAATTTTCCTATGTAGTTTGTAGACATATGCATGAAAATTTTCATCTATATTTGTGTTTTAATTGCAGGTGCTGTTCTTATGTGGGTCGAAGGGGAAATGGTCCTCAGGCTATATCTATTGGCAAGAATTGTGATAAATTTGGTATAGTTGTCCATGAGTTGGGTCATGTAATAGGTTTTTGGCACGAACATACACGACCAGACCGTGATGACCATGTCACCATCATTAGAGAAAACATCCAGCCTGGTGAGACATTCTAATAGGTATTTTGGAAAAAAAAAAGAAAAAAAAGTTTGTTTATTTTTGAAGTTTCCTTCATCTTCTCAATGCTTAAAGCTGAATATTGGATAGCAAAATTAACTGAATAGCAGAAATGAACATTTATGCTTGCTATTCCTCTTAGCTAGATTGATCTCAAGCTGATTTACAACTGAAATACTGCAAATAAAATACAATCTTTTCTAAAGATCTGGCCAAGTAGCAAGCCATTAAATAGTATTGGTTAGACAGTGAGAAATAGTAATGGTGCTCAAAAACTTTGAAGGAGGCTTCTGCACTTTAAGCCCTCTGAAAGCCAGGTTTCTGTGCTTCAGAAAGGGTTTTTCTTTCATAGACTTCACTGAAGTAGAAAGTAGAAACACGTCAATAGCTGCCCAAGTGGTTTAGACCTAGCAGGTAATCCGAGGGATGGACATTGTTCCCATGGTTTCCACATTATTTGTGTCCTACAGAGCTTGCAGCTTTAGCCAATGGCTTTGACATTGTTGAGACAGAGCATCTAAGGAACTTGAGAACTTAAAACTGTGTCTGCCTTTTCCTTGTCAGTCTAGCTGTTCTGCCCACACTTGTCTGGCAGGGAACTAGGTGTGTTTTGCATGCAGCATTCATAAATGTACATGGTCTTTGTGAAACATCGATTTTGACTTATGGGAATTTTCTGCTCAAGATGAGGTGAAATGAGAAATTGTCTGATGATAGCTTGGAGTCTTTGTCCATTCCTATAGAAAATGTTTTAAAACAAAGTAGATTTGAAATGCAATAAATCCTTGCCACCTCAGCTAGGACCTGAAAGGTGACTGGCAGCTGATGCACGCTCCCACAAGTGTCTCAGGTCCTGACAGGGCACATGCATCCAAGCCTTCCTTCTGGTCTCTGTGTGTGATTGGCTTGTGTAGGTGCCATAAGTGTTCTTTTCCAGCCTATGCCATTCTATGATTCTATGATTTTCCTATGTTTTTCCTGTGACCGGGAAATCAGCTGGAGTGCCATCACCAGACCTGTTCTCTCTCAGTTGCCCCCCTACTTTCTGACTGAGACTACTGTTTATGGTGTGGCATGAGCTTGAGGATCACTGAATGGGATGAGGAAGTCATCACCACCAAGACATTTAGGTTTTGTTATATTATTTAAATCATGTTGGTTAATAATTTTAATGCTGCTGCAGTTTTTTGCAAGACATCAGTGGGAATATGATTTGGAGTAAGGGTTGTTTTGCATCTCTTAATACACTGGTGAGGACAAAGAACTTCTGGTCTGGAATTATGGACTAAGTATAACTCTTTTATTCCTCTTTGACTTTAATTAAGTTGCAACAGCTGGCTCTTGAAAAAGAGAGTAGCCTTTTCTGAAGCAAAATCTCTTTAGTGTTCAGTCTAATGAGTCTACAATGAGGGTTCTTTTGCAGTCTTTGCTGTCAAAATGATTTTTTTCTGGAACTGAGAACCAAGACACCAAATTGTATGGATTCTGCATGAAGTGCTGCATAATATGTGGGGTCTTTATGTGAGTTAGAATAGCCTTTCTAAATGCGAAATACAGAAATTTTATGTATGTTTCAGAACTCTTGGCTAATGAAAATCACACAGTTACTTCCAAATGGCTAAGATTTATGACTGTCAGTGAGTGATTGAGTTAGGAACTTTCTTGTCTGTCTTTTCCTGTTTGATTTTTATCTTCACAAAAAAATAATGAAGAAACTCTAATTATCAATCATTTTTAGGTCAGGAATACAACTTTTTGAAGATGGAGCCTGGAGAGGTGAATTCCCTTGGGGAACCATACGACTTTGACAGCATTATGCACTATGCCAGGAACACCTTCTCAAGGTTGGAGTCTCAGGTTATACCTTTTGACTTTTAATTCTGTCCCTCTCTGTGAATACTAGAAACTATGCTTTTTTAAGTATTCCAAAATTGCTAAAAATGTCCCTTGCAATATAATGTTCTTACATCAGTCAAAGCACGCCTTGTTTATTTTAAGTCAGAATAATTTAATCGTATTTTTAAACACATTTCATTCCTGTTCAATTTAAAAGTAGCCTTTTGATCTTGCTTCAGTTCTTTAGATTTTAAGACAAGATAATCTGCAAGCATCGTTTGATATAATACTCTTTTTTTCCTCTACAATTAGAGAAGCTAAACAAGTGAAACTGTGAGGAATTTTTCTGTGTAACATGATCCGTTCTCCTAAAGAGAAATCTCTTTTGATCCATAATGCCTGAATAACTCTGGATTATGCAGGTAGAACATGTTATGATATTAGGACCTTTACCATACAAGCCACAGCTTTTGCTAAGTGCTGCAGTCAACCATTTATAACAGCAAACTCTTCTGTGTTGTCTGTACAGATAGTTGCTCTTATCAAAATCCTTTAATAAAAAGTTCTGCTGAGTTTCCTCTGGCCTGTTGCAGTCTGATCCATTCCCACCTCCACAGTAACTCACCTGAGGCTCCCCCTGAAACTCCACATGGTTGTAGGGAGCTGTACCAAGTCACAGTTCAGCTAGTTACTCTCTAAAATATGAGAGTAACGTAGATTTAAAGAAACCTTAAAAAAAAAAACTGACAAAAAAGGTTAATTTAAAAAGTTATGCACTTAGTTGGTTTTTTTTCCTCTAATTAATGCATTTTAAGGCAAAAATACTAAACAATCTGAGACTCTGAAGTAAACTGAAGACCTCACCAGCCTTTGTAAATTTCTTACGTTTGTTCTTCTCAATGTAATTTGTGTTATTTGAAATAAATTCTACTAAAGAAATTATTCAGCATACGCATAATTCACCCCTGGAAGAGCATGGGAATGAGCCACATGAGGTAGATATTAGTCACATTGCTTAATACAGCTACAGATAATATTACCTTAAGAAAGAAATTATAAGAACCTATATAAAATAGAGTAATTTAACAAGCTGGAGCCCTCCAGTGTCCTAGGGCAATGACAACATAAAGATAATTTGATTTGTGAGCCCTGATCTCACCACTTTCCAAGCTGGCAAAAGCTGATAGTGCCATGAGTAGGCATGCCCTGCCCCAAGGTACAAGAGGTTGCTGTTTGAAAAAAAAAAAGCGAACGCTTGAGGTCATGTATTGATTTGCAATGATTTATCGTGAGTGCATGAATTGTGCTGTGTGGCATATTGCCAGCTCTTGGTTAGACTTTATTCACCCGGATAGGTAGAAGAAATCAGAAGTCTTCATAAAATTCTAGTCACACACAATGATGTTGTTCATGCTGTATTAAAACTGTTGCAGGTTGTTTCCTTAATAAAGTGCCAAGGCATTTATAAAAGGATTGTTTTCACATTTTTCAAAATATGAATCATAGCAGTTTCAGGTTTTATTGAAAATCAGAGGCTATTTATAGACACAAACACTTTTTTGAAATAATAATGTGCCTTATTTACAGAAACTGATTAATGCCATTAGTTTTATTTCACTGTTTAGATTAGAGTAACATCCTGAGGTGTTTCTTTTTAAAAAAAAAATTTCTAGTGATGCCGCAAGAAACCGGACTGGGTAAAAAGAGCAGTATGTACCTGCAATACTTAAAATGGTTCATTTCTTATAATTTAAAACACAATCTGTGTTTAGGAACAGTATTCCTAGCTACAAAGATCCTTACTGTTAGTTCAGTTTTAGACCTACATTATGCCTTAAAATACCAGTTTTACTTCTCAACAAAAGCCCTATAAGTATCCAACAGAGTATAAAAAATTAGAGAACAAGAGAATACAGAAACATATTAATCTGCTAACTTGCATTTTATGGGATTAGAGGGATTTTTCAAATTCTGTAACATGATAATAGAACTTGAGTTTGTACCTTACTCTTTGAAATTTATTTGAGACTACCAAAATATTTTGGATCATGTTTTAAAATTGGGAAATTCTGAATAAAACTGCACATTTGTAAAGAATGTTCTTCTCTTACTTCTAGTCATTTAGGCTAAATGTTATTAAAATCACATGGTAAGTTGTATTTTATTGTAAAGCAAGTAGAGGCTGGCAAGTAAGCATTTCTGTTTCAAAAGCAGCAGCAGCCAGAGAAGTTATGTTATGACTCCCTGACAGAAGAATGATTGTCAAATGTGCCTGACTTTACCTGCTCTTACATGTGAAAGTCAGACTGTAAGACTTCCCTTAAAAGCTTTGTTGGAAGTAGGAACGTTGGGATTAAGAATTTTGTGATAAGGCCTAATGATATAATTTTATAATTAATTTTTTTCAATATAACAACAGCTTAACAGCAGTGTCTTTTTCCTGTGTAGTCTTAATAGTAGAAAGAGATTTCCATCCTGTTTTCTAACAGAAATACAAAAGCTGATATGTTAATCGATGAAATGAAAGAAGATTCTTTTTTGATAATTTTACATAAAGTTTGCCAGCCTGAGTAATTTTTATGACGTTTTCTGTATTTAAAGTTCTGCATTTTACCCTCTTATATATGCCAAATGTAAATTCTACATTTACAATATAGCATTATACATTCATAACACTCAGACAGTTTTATGACAGAAACCTGATAGGGGGTTTTGGGGTCTATTTTTATTTTTATTTTTTTTAGGGGCATGTTTCTGGATACCATTCTCCCTTCCCGTGATGATAATGGTATACGACCTGCCATTGGCCAGCGTACTCGTCTAAGTAAAGGAGATATTGCACAGGCAAGAAAGCTGTATAGATGTCCAGGTATTGCACTACAAACAAACAAAAAACACGTACTAGCAACTGTTTGACTTGTTGTTCAAGAGGAATGATAAATTTTTTGAGTCAGTTGCTCAGTAGCCTGTTTTCATGTTGGCAACTGACGTAGGCAGTTCAAGAATTGAATCATAAGAAAATCTTCTAGATAAGGTCTCTGGAATGCAAAGCACTTAAGGACAGATAAGCTGTATGAAACAACACTTAGTTCCATGACATTTCAGTGTTTGTTTTCCTTAGCTGTTTTTAGGAGGAAAAAAAAAGTTTAATTCCACTTCTGGTTTACATATCGGCTGGAGTCCTTTTTTACATTAATTCAAGTAGAATGCAGAAGGAACAAATTAAAATATTGCTATCAACTCTGAACACGTTACATATTTTGAGAATTTAACAAATAACAAGCCAGGACAATTAAGTTGTAAACTCTTTTATGGATTAACTGGTTAGATCTTATTACAAAATTTCTACAGTTTTAACAGCCACATTTAGTATTTGAATATCTTCTGCCTAATTCTAGCATCCTATAATTTCAATGCGTATTATTGGTTTATCTCAAAATAGTGTTGGGGTGTTGGGGTAGAGTTGCTGTCTGTCTTGGAGACATCAGGGGAGCAACCCAGAGCCAGCTCTGTGGTTCTTGTTCTCTTGCTCTAGTTCTTCACTAAGTGCTGGCAGAGTGGTGGAAATCGCAAAGCAAAAGGGTTTGTTTTCCTTGCTCTAGTTATGGCTATGGCCAGTTTTTTAACCTTTAGTGTCAAATGAAGGAGTTCAGAAGTGCTGTTTCTGAGACAGAATTTGCCAGCCAAGGTCCTTGGGGAAAGCTGGACATGCCAGCTTGAGGCCACATAAGTTTTATAGCCCTCGTGCTCCTCAGGGGAGTCAGTGAAGTTTTAGTAACTGTTTTAAGTCAGATATATGACTACTTTTTGCTACGCAGTCAATATAGAAGGGCTGTAAGGAGAGATCAGGACTGAAGTGATGGAGCTGCTTCAAATTTTTATCAGGAGCAATGTGATCTAGTGAAGATTTGGGGCATCTGATGTGCTTTCGATGTACACTGTGCAGCCAAAATTTACTTTTCCTTTGTGCTGTAAGTACATGGAGCCACAATCTTCTATATACTGCCATTGCTTCTGGAACTACCAGAGGAGAAACCACTTCAGCATATTTTCTTTAACACCTGTTCCTTTTGGTATAATTTTTCCTCTATCCTTTTGATACAGAAAGTACTTGAATAATGATATTCTTCTTGGCGGCATTATTTCTAATGAGAGTATGCAGAGAGAAATGGTTTCATAAGCACAGAGAATACATGTATATTTTAATAAAAGACAGATTTTGGAGACAAAAGTAATCTATAGAATTAAAACTAGTGTGGAAGTAGCTAGTATCTTATGATCACATTGACTTAAGAAAAATATATATATAAAATTACAGTCTAGACTGCTTAGTGCGTGTATAGTATTCTAACATGCGCTTTCAGTCAACTGAGAAAGACACAATGTGCCTTCTAAGCTAGTATTCAAGTAGTTGTTCAGAGAAAATGTCCTTTTCAGATAACTTGAAAATATGTAATGATGAGTTATTTCTTTTGGTGACTTGAAAGTCTTGCTGAAAGCTAGTTTTACTTGTATTGTAAAACCATGGACGTTCAGCAGTAGTGCACATGTTAAAAGTAAGCTATTTCTTGCAGCACCAGTGTCAGAGGGATAATAAAAATAAAATACAATGTGAACTTAAAAACATCCAATAAAGAAAGCAACTCTCAGCAAGTTGCATACTACTTGTGACCTAATAAATTTCCCAGTAAATAGTGAGACTGTTAATTCAGACATTAAGCTTTTGGTTTTATGAAAATAATCATGTGATCATTGTAGTATATACCAATAAAATCCCTGACACTGTGTTGGTTTTGGAGGCACGCTGTATTTCCTCTTTCAGACAAAAGATGTTAATCATGATGTCTGCTTATGATAAAACAGCAGTGAATATTTCAAGCATTAATAACATCTGCATTGTTTCATGTGTTCATTTGTGGTGCCTTAAATTTAATACAATGAAAATACAGAAAACAGTAACTTAAATCAGTATTTTCCAGAGACACACACTTCTTTGATAAAGGATTTTTTGGTATTGTGCACATTTCAACTGGAGCTCTAGATAGTCCTGCAAGCAGTTTCTGGTCCAAGAAGCCAAGGGCATATTCTGGGGCCCATGAACTTCATAGCTGAGCTCAGGGCTGCTGGAGAAGGCAGCTGATCCTCACAGCAGTGAGGCAGCCGAGCCTTCAGGGTTGTTTTAGCTAGTCAGGATGTTCAGGGTCATTACTCAGGAAAGGGCCTAGTGACAGAGAAATGGTTTTGAGCTTGGTGAAGCCAAGGCATGTGATTTGATAACCTGTCTTTCATCAGCTAAGCAAGTGCCAGGACTCAGCGGCCTAGCAACTGCAATTTTGGTTTGTTTTTAACATTTTCTGAGGATTTTGTTGAAGGAAAACATAATTGCTGATAGGAATCTGTTACATTTTAATACTGAGTTGCATTGTTACATGATAGAATAATGAGGAGAAAGCAAGCAATTAAGTTGAAGGTCTTTCCTCTCTGCCAATCTTATTTTGAACTTTGAGTATCTTGGCTTTTGAGAACAGATCTTGGCTGGGTGTATTGCGACAGTTTCAGACTGTCTACTGGAGTAATAGAATATGTTTTCTTCTAGTGTAGCTACTAAAATTTCAACGCAGGTCTACCTTTATAGCTTTATATGGAAATTGTAGTTGATTTAAAATTCATATGTAGTTTTGTATGAGCCAGAGAATAAGTAAGGGAAATGATGGGTAAGGATACTCTTAGGCAGAAAGAGAGGACAAGAAATAAGTGTATAGGGTGGGACTGAATAGTGCATGGGGAAGGAGGCTCAGAATGGCAGCAGAAGGCTGTTCAAAGGAAGAGAAAGTGGATGGAAGAAGTTCAGACTATTTACGAATTGCCAGGGACTGTGACAGTATGTGTGGAAGAGAGCAGGTGAAGGATACCAAGCCTGTTTTTATTTTTTGTTTCTCAGACTTAACTTGCTCTCATCTTTAATAGATTAGAAAAGATTATTAACCTTCAAAAGTCAGCCTTTATTCACTACATGAGGAGAATTAAGGCTTTTTTAGATTAAGGCCTTTTCCCTATAAATATAAAGGGGAATCAAGTGAACAGTAAGACACTGAGTTATGGTAAACCAGTTCAAGTTTTTAGTTTAACATTATCAGCAGCAGATATTCTTAGGGCTCTGTGGCAGCTTTCTATGCCATATTTCTATAGTTGTACAGACTTAGTCTAAGTATAAAGTACTCAAGATCTTGATTCCATTTGGAAAAGAGTAAGTTTAAATTAGCCATATATGACAGTATATATTCGCTAGTGCTATGGACAAAGGAATGAGAGTCGGTTGCCTAAGTGTCCTCAAGTACCTGGCCTTTGTCCTTTGCAGATTTCATTATAATGCTTAATGGAACTTGGCTGTGTGTGTAGGCCAGAGAGGTGCTATATGCAGTATATGCTATATGCTATTATATGTGTAATTAAATGCTGCCACAGAGTTCACTGGTAAAAATTGCTTTATTGCTTTGTTTAAGTATATAATCTACCTGTTGCCTGCACTTATTGCTGGGAGAAGCAGAAATAGTTTCCCTTTCCTTAACACAGAAAGGCCTATCAGAAATCTAACCTTCTCAAGCTGTAAAACAGACAGGAGATTGTTTACAAGTTGAAACAAAAATAGTTTCCCTTTTCTTACCACAGAAAGGCTTATCAGAAATTTATCCTTCTCAATCTGTAAACCAGACAGGAGATTGGTTTTTTTAGGTTGGAGTGTGTGTGTGGAGACAGTGCTAAAGTCACATTTCTGCAAGTGGTCTAGCCTAGTAAAATTGATATTGATATAAGTCATGACAGTTGAGAGGGGAGGGGGGAAATCAGAGAAAATATTGGCAATGTTAAGGATTAACAATGGAATAAGAATAAAGCAATTGAAGTTGTAACTAATTTCTTCTGACATGAAATATACTAAAATTACTTCTTCAGAAATCAAAATAAGTGGCTCTTACTATTCATTTTCCTGCTACATTTCCTTCTCAAAGTGTACTCCATTACTCATGGACCATCACACATTAAAATATTTATAATATACCACTTCATGAGCCTAATCTGTAGTTGCCACAGTTCAACTACAGAAAAAACTTTTAAATTCTCTAGTGACAGAATTTTAACTGTTTCAGTTTCCATTATGCCCTTGCAGAGAAATGAGGAACAAGAAATGCCCAAATATCATTCTGTCCACAAGAGTTCTGGAAGCCAGCCTGCAACTCAGATCCCATAGATAATTAATTCAACTATTGATTTGTATAAGCGTTTCTTGTTACAATCTCCTTGAGTAACCAGGAATTATAAATGGAATGGTAAATATGGTGAAAAACATAAAGGCCAAACACATTTTATACATTCTAATCATGTTAATTCCTAGTAGAAGTTATGCAATTACAATTTTCTTATACTTACCTTAAATTCAGAGATATTTATGAAAATTTTGATTTCGTAGAGATCTCTAAGGCACTTAGTATGGGTATTTATTAAATTGTTGCATTAACTTGCTTTATTCTATAATTCCTAGGGTAAAAAATGTTCCACAGCACCTTTTGCAACTTAAAAGTCCATAGTCTTAAGGCTACGTACAGCTTCTGTACATGAAGCATGGAGTGTTATTAATATTCTGGAGAAAATAATCCTGCACTCTGTATAAGAGAGACAAGTTCTGATATGTTTTAAAACATGTAAAGCTATTAAGCGTAATTATAATAAATATATATAATATATAAAAA